CGAGACAAGATAAGGACACGGTCGCAGACCAACACAGAAAGTGGTTCATATCACAATGAAGAATACAATGAAGCATTCAAAGGTACGTCCTAGGTGTTCTTCTCATGTGCAGTAGTGTTCTTTGGACGTGAAGTAGTTCAGGCACTCCTACCCGCAAGCACAATTGCTATGAATTTCGCGGCTCAAGCCGCACCCCATAGGGGTGTCAGGCGCTCGCGACAAAGGCAATGCCCCGCCTACCGTCCAATGCCACGGCCAATATTCATTACTGAAGGTTTGGTGCGCATATTACTCTACTATGGAGCTTTTCCCACCCCGATTGATGAAAGCGACGTGATAAGGGAAAAGAGCTGATCGGTTGGGAGTCGGACGGGCATTCGGACGGTTTTTCGTGCTTTTCCTTCGCTATTGAGTCCAATACCACCTTATATTCAAACTTGAGTCCTCCTACCCACAATACATAATTTTGGGACGTGCCCTCGTCATTTTTGATCGTGGGACATGCCCTTACTTTCTTCTTCTTCAGAAAAAAAAGCCAGTGGAAGTAGTGTGTTCACAGGAAACCCACCAAAGATATTGAATTTTCAAAGCAAAACAATAAATCACGAAAGAATCCACTAAATACTCACATTCTAAACTCGTAGAGATTGTTGTACAGGAGAAAAACACTGGGTAACGGACTGTCGGCGAGTATTCGATCACTTATCAACAACTTCACGTCCTCGTTCAAATCCTGAAAAAAACTGTCATCAAAACACATAAACAGGCTATAAAAAACTGTGCCGATTATTAATGATGTGAGAAAAAAACAGGAAAACAATTTTTGCGACTGTTTATATCAGCAAAAGATACCCATAGTGGGGACGATTATCGTTATCAGTTAAAAGCAACAATGTTTTTGACAACAAAATGAAGAGAGAGCTGGAGAAGTGGAGAAGTCAAGAGAGCAACACCAGAAGGCCGTAAGAGTCAAGGGTCATGAGGACCAATGAAAACCAAACATCAAACATTCGGCGTTCGTCAGTCCTCCTTTTTTATGCTGCTGCGCCTTTCGAGCTTCTTACAACCAAATGCAAAATTTTATTCAACGGCATAACGTTCTTATGATGAAGGAGTGTTTTGATTGCTTCGAAATCTTCGTCAGCTCACCAACTGTTTGACTGTGCGTAGATTTATGCGTTCATTAAGGGGTATTTGTCTCCTGAACTATGGATAATGAAAGGTCTGCTGATTTCACTGTCTCGCCACGTGTTTGCCCCATTTCCACGTTTATTACCGATCTTAACCCTCTTTTATGAGCAATAGTAAGAACTACGACAAGCGAATGTTTAGGTCATCTGTCTATAATACTAACCCTGCTTTGACGTACTTCAGGATGATCCTTGACCTTTCTCATGCCCTCAGAATTATTTATCAGGGAGAGATTCTGGCCCTGTCGGTGAGCCAGTCCCTTGAAGCGTTCTCCGCTTGCAACAACTAAGCTTACTGAAAACAACACACTGGTGAACAACAAGCTATTGCTAACGCTGTTCACTTGATGTTCCCTGGTTCGTGCTTTCCATCTCCTTAAGCCATCGCAGCTTCATTTCGTTCCCTTATTTCGCATGCTCTCATCTGATGTCGTGGGTGTCACTGAATATCATTTAACAGGGCGTTTAGAAGGGGTAAGGACTCCCGAGGGAGGGATTCCCGTATAGAAAATTCATGCACTTTTCGTAGCCTGCTTTCGCTCTGTTTATTTAAGGCGAGAATCATTTGATGTGATTACCCTTCATTGTTACTCTTCTTGGCTCTTTACCTCAATATCGCATTAATGCCTGGCTGGGAGGGAGTAAAATGATTCCGGGGAACATGACAAAAGCTTCACTTTTTTAGGACTTGCTGGTCCATGAATCGCATGCTTCACAGTGTATGCATCCCATGGACCAGGGTTTTACTTGTGAGAGATGCCCGAGAGGGGGGAAACTGTCAACGAGACGATTTGCCTAAGACAGCCGTTGTAATTTGAGCACGTCTTACGTTGAGCATCCCCAACGGTCATTTTGGCCCTGGACGTAGGGGCGAGGGGGAATCGCCTTTGCCTCTGTGAAAAAGGGTTTTGGTTGACTTTTCCCGACTTTTCTCGGTTTTTCCCTTGCTTCACGTGCGCTGCATGAAGCCCCACTCCCTCCCTCTGCTCTATGGCCCTTTTTTGAGGAGGTTACATACAGTGCTCGCGTTCAACCAGTTTGTAGTCTTGTGCGCAGTCTCTGAGACTGTCCCACTTCCGCGGCTTCACAGCAAGTAGCGAAGGCGCTGTGGCCCTCACAAATGGCAATTTCTGACGCCTCCCTCGTTGCCACGCCCACAAAAACTGCAAAGGCTGTGGAATTATTTTTGTTACCATGTTTTTCGTTTTCTTCCACTGCTAGCATGGTATGTAGTACTGCATGATGTGACAGAAACGATTTAGCGAAATCCTCGGGGCGGCAGCATTATCTTGTTGCTCTGAATCTGGGTTTGGTGATATGGAACGGACTTAGGTCCCGGAACTCGTCCAGAGGATGTACGTATGGTCTTCACTTAAGGGGTGTTTCTTTGGTTAAAAAGGGCACCGTTGGCGCGATCATTTGGTTTTTACGGACCCAACATGCTGCAGGGCGCTATATAGTGGTGGGGAAAATGGCCAAAAGTGAAAGTGAAAACGGCTCAGAACGAAGAAAAGCCTGCGTTCTTGATGACTCAAAAAGCTATTTCGGACGAGTTTATCGTGGGTATCTTGCCAGTCACCGCTGCGATAGATACGGCTGCACGTATGTACTCATATATTCGTGCAGCACCGCGGCCGCTTCATTTCAATTCCTTCGCTTCCCATTTTACTTAGCAAATAAAGTTACGAGCATCATGTGCGGTCGTCCATTTGGGCGGCTCGCGTCTGTGGGCGTTCGGTCAGTATGTACTGTTTATCTTGGTAGGGCGTTGCGTTCTATGGAAAAGACGCTCTGCAGCGACTGCTCAAGTTCGCGGAATCCCGTCCTGCCGGAGGTATTTATCCTACTCGTTTCAGGGATTTATCGTGCCAAGTGCCTCTAACGTCACAATCCACCGTATTTAATATCGACTTAACCATCTCCTTGTGGTCTTTATTATCGATATTGGTAACTGAGGATCAAGATTCAATGCGTTGGGGGGGGGGGGGGAGTAAAGCGTCCTGCACCTGTAGCTCAAGCTGCATCGTAAAAAAAACGAGGAATAATAAGATTTCGAACGCTTCTATTGCTGCTTTCATGGAGAATTTCGACTTCATTAAGAGAGCATTCATCGTTGTATGCATCGCTGCATAATTCACTTCGCTATGCGCCATTCTAAGTACCGTCTTCAGCCCGCGATTGCTCTTGCATTACTGCGGTGTGAATGTCCTAGAAAAATGATCCTTATTTGGCATTCTTGAATGTCCTCTTCCAGATGATTGCAAATATTCGACCACAGTAACAAACTTAGCTGAGTTGCCACCAAAAGAATTTGAAGACTATTCATATTGTAAGCCTGTATCAGCATTGTTATCCAAAGGACCATAGCTGCATAGAAACAATATTTTGTAGGAATTCGTAGAATTCGCGCAGGTGGTAACTGCTATATAGTCTGCTCAAGAGGCGTGAGCAAACTCTCCGGGTTGAAATAGCGAGTTTGAACGCGAAGCTTTTGCAGCACGAGATCAGCAAGGAAGCCTCTTCTTTTCCTTGCTCCATTTCTTTTCTCTTTTGAAGCATTCTCACATTGCTGCGAGCTTTTCCAGAATCATTGCGAATAGAATTCGCAATTTTCTCTTTACTGAAAGTTTTTCATCGTCAATGCTTACCTTTTTTCTTATCTTTGGTGGTTTATAGCACCGCAGGTCGACTGGACCCGATCTCCGGTGGAAGCCCCCAGTACAGTCGTGATCCCTCAGACTGGCCATCCGTAATTGCGTACTTCACTGGGACGCGACGGCGGCTGCAGTAGGAGTGGCGATCGATGCTGCATGATCACCTGATTTCAGCGATTAATTTTTCTATTTTGCCTGTTATTCTGCTGGGAAACAGAATGGAAAAGTGGAGTTCATATTATTTTACTCTAATTTGAGGTTTTATTGTATATTTTGCTTTCAGTCGCTATTTGACTGCAGTGACGGTGTTTTTACCCACTTTTTGATTTTGTTTAGGTTTTTTGTTTGTGCTTTGAATGTTGGACTGTTCTCCATGGCAGTGTCGTTATGTGTCCTCATTAGTACAAAAAAAACCTAAACAAAATCAAAAAGTGGGTAAAAACACCGTCACTGCAGTCAAATAGCGACTGAAAGCAATATACAATAAAACCTTAAATTAGAGTAAATAATATGAACTCACTTTTCCTTCTAGTTAGCAGAATAACAGGCAAAATAGAAAAATTTAATCGCTGAAATCAGCTGATCATGCAGCATCGATCGCCACTCCTACTGCAGCCGCCGTCGCGTCCCAGTGAAGTACGCAATTACGGATGGCCAGTCTGAGGGATCACGACTGTATG